GATAGTATGCTGACATTGTGCATATATATTCCCATATACATTTCTGTATTTTTTCATAATGTCTAAAGTAAAAGACGAAATAGGAGAGGTTTAGATTTAGAAGAAAAAGAATGTTTTGTCTTCCTGCTTGGATCCTGCTGTAAGTCAGCGCTCCAGCTGCGGCTGATGGCATATTTATTCTGTTCTCCCTCTCTCTGGGCCTGGAAGGGACAGGTCAGGACACAACACACTACCCGAGTGTGAAGTGTTTGAATCTGGTGATGAATGGATTGCTCTCCTCCAGGGACTAGGACTTCAAAGCAGGAAGACAGATACCCAGAAGAATAGACTATGCTTTTTCTGCATTTGAAAAATGTATTCTTATAAAACAAGTTTAATTCTAGACAGAAGGAATATCATACCGTGTATGCAGACTTTTTCTCTAATTTGATTTTCAAAATACAGCACATGCACATTTCTATTGCTAGATTGTTTCTTTTATCTATCCAGAACTGTGTCACCGTGTTTTATCTTAAATTGTATTCTCACATCAGTTAAATATGCAGATAAATAAAAGGAAATACATTTAAGATTAGGCAACTATCTTCCTCACAAATAAAGAAATATAAAAAGGCGCCGTCTTCCTGTTCAAAATGCTCACCCTGTCAAATCTCTCAGTGGTGTGATGAAATTCAGTGTGACTATCACAGCAACATGACACTTCTCTGTGACTTCATGCATTAAAACATGAGTGAGTGATCAAAGGTGACAACATGATGCAGCCAGAGGTGGGTGATGGAGCGAAACGCAGAAAAACCAAAGCTTTTATTTTTTATTTAGCTCACAGTTTTTGGCCTTCTGCGCTCACTCTTTTGGACTATTCCTGTTCCTGAATACGTAAACACTGAATTTTCTACTCTCACACAAACATTTTTTGGAAAAATCAACTGTGTGGACTTATGTGGGTTGATTTGGATATTGAGGTTCATCAAAAATAGATCTACAGTATGCTGTTTTTAACCTTAAATCCCACCAGACTCCATTAAATAGTATAATCGCTTTAGTCCATTAAAGCCAAAAAAAAAAGGCCAAGCCAACTTTCTACTGACTACTGACTGTTTTGTGGCTAATTCTCTCATTCTAATTGGATCAGCATTCATTGTCTCACCCTCTTCTCTTTTACCTTCTTTTTTTTCTGCCTCTCTGTACAGTTCAGGCCAAGACGGGAGAATTTATTTCTCACACAGTGTCATCAATCGTATTCTGCTGTTTGATTGATTGGCCCATGTACAACCACCAGCCAAATGGAGGATTGAGAATCATAGGAGCAATCTGTCACGTCAAAAGTCTGAGGGCGACGCTGCGGGAGGACGGGCCGCATCTGTTCGCACTCACATTAAAATTTCCCTTCTGATTCATAGAAAACAGACACAAGGTAAAGAAAACAAACGACCATTGTCTCGTTTAAACAAAAGCCGTGAAGATGAAGCTGCTTTGTTTTTACACAATGAAGATAAAACTGTCCCCATAATTCCAAACTCAGGTATAAGCTCGTTGAGAAGCGGCCTGCTCTGCAGAGACAATGACAGCACAAATGATGTCTTTGTTTTCGAGTTGGCACAAAATTCATTTCAAGTAAAAAATGATATGGAGGAAAAGAGTTACAGAGCAATGTATACATCTTCTTCACAGGGCTGTATCTAACAATCAGCAGGGAATGTCAGGCTGGTGTACAGACCCTTCGCTCTTCACTAATCTTTAATGAAAGCATACTTTATTGCCAAAACTTGTACAGGTATATACTGGGAGCTGTATCAAATACAACTCCCAGGACAGCTATATACTGTACAGCCCCACGCTGTCCTGTATATATACCCAGTACAGTATATATACAGCTATATACTGGGAGCTGTATCAAATATAAAACCATTCAGAAAAGATCTGATAAAACTCACACACTGTTACGCGCTGTGTACATCTTGTCCTAGATTATACAGCTGGTGTCTGGGGGTTTCAGAAACATTCAATTCAGCATGCGGCTGCTCACACTTACGAAGTGCGATGTGAGTGTGTTAGAACAGTGCTCTTTGCTTAATTGCTGCTATTCCTGTTACCTTGGTAATGGTGATCAAATACTTGAGGCATGTTTCGGGAGGAGAATGGTGGGGAAAAATACTTTGTGTGTTACATTCATTCTGCATATGACGGGCCAGCTACAGTCCATGATGGGGGAATTAAAAGTAAAAATTAACTTTTGGTGACAAACTGCAGGACGGTTTGATTGGCATCCTTTGGATAAGGCTTGAAACCCCTGCTATGGTCATTTGATTTTAATTCATGATGTTGACATCCAATTAAAACATTAACCGTGCTATGAACTGAAAGACCTATAAGAAGTAGCATTAAAACAAGACTAATAGTCTGCTCTGTGAGGCTGTGATTAGTGAGGAGTAGGCTGTGGCTCAAACTGACAGTGCTGAGGTATAATTTCAGAAAACTCAAAGAAATGGCAAAGAGGGAAGCAAACTGCAGGAGATATTCTGCAGCTAAAGGTGAGAAAACTGTTTTTTTTTTACCCCTGAGGAAGTTCAGACTTATTATTAGGCTATCACTGAAGTGGGGGTGACTATGTCATTCCTTTTGAGAAATCACATTTCAGATGGTTTTATAAGACAGAACAGATCATGTATTTCAGGTACTTTCTTTAATGAGGCCCAGCTCCAGGAAAAAAAGTCCTGGGCTTGATACATAGCTGTTTTATTTACAGGGTTGTTGCAGTTTATATACATCCATGCCTGTTGTAAACTTTAAATGATACACTTTAAGGATCAAATGTCTTTTGTCCCTCCAAACTGAAGAATGCCTTTGAGCCACTGATAGATGTAAATCCTAAATGCAATTCATGCTTAACTTGCAATTTCAAATAAACGAGTGATCAAAGGTGACACATCAGAACTGGGTGACAGAAAGGATTAAGCATGTGCGTCCTCTTCAGCTGAAGGCCCCTCTCTTTTTTGCTTTCTCTCTTGATGTCTTTTCTAAAGTAAATAACACTGTCCTTAGTAATCCAAACATGTACTGTGTCCAGAATATCCTCGCTAAACTTAAATTCTACAAAAAAATATTTGTATTGACAACTATCATCTTTTTAAAATTTCTAATGCAATGTCTCATGTTTTTAAAAACCAATTATAGCATGTTACTGTATCTTCAGCGTTGTGTCATTCGCCACTACTCACTGTAACTGTGATACACGACAACATCAAAAGAATGAAAATGTAAAATGATGCTGTAAGCTTATGGAGTTTTGGCAAATTGTGTAGATCGGTGTTCATAAATACAAAAACACCATGATTGAAAACTATATATAGTAAGGTAATGTTCACAGAAACAGGCTTACAGCCAACATCTCAGTAGTTACAATCATGAAATCTGATTACAGGATGAAAAGAGTCTCTCCATGTCAGCTCAAACAACAAGCATAATTTTGTCATAGTGCGTGAAGATTCCAATTTCTGCTAAATCTATCCCAGTGTGCGCCCAACGGTAAGCAAAGAGAGCCTGAAAATGGCTCATTAACAACCACATAATATGTACCAAAAAACAAACAAATGTGTACAGATGTGTGTAGTTTTACTGTTGTCAGCCAAACCCAAAATCAGTGACATTAACTTATGTTCACTTATAAGATCATGTGAAGTTGACTTGACTGGACTGACTCTGTTGTGCTGACAAAGTACAGCAGACCCAGGATTGAAGTCCAGCAAGAGTGTCGTTCTTCTAATCCAAGGAGAGAGTCAAACTAAAACTGAAATCCTTGAGAGTTTGTGTTACAGCAGATAGCGTTTTGTTTTGTTTTTCAGTCACAGAGTGTGATCAAATCAACACAACAGAGATGCAGTTCCTCTACAAAATCATCCCCCTTTAATAAATTGTCTGTGGAGACTAAATTGAGCTTTTAACCATCTTTCAGCAGAATGAAATTGCATAGTTAATAACATCTACTCAAAGAAATTCTTCTGGTGTATTTCAAGCAGCAGAGAAATGATTATGAGAAATTATGTTTCATTTGTAGATGCCAAAATAAATGCAATTTTCCAACTCCTTTACAAGAATGCAACATACAAGTCAAAGCCAAAGCCTTTCATTTCATTCACAGAACTGGCAACAAGATGTCTCTCAGCAAATAACACAAAATTCATCAGCAAAGCCTGACAACACCAGAAGGTAACATTGTTTATGGATTCATTCATGAATAGGTATAGTTTAAGCAAGGCACTTAAAGACCAGTTCTGGTATGAAGACCACTTCATACCAGGCTGAAAACCAGTGACTCACTGTCCTCTTTGGATGAGAAGTTTCACATGTATCACAGCTATTCAGGTATATTTATGCATATCATAAACTGCACCTCTCCCAGTAACTCATTGCACGAGCTGTCTATGCACATGAAGCATGGTTATAAAAGGCTGCACTTCTTTTAGAGCAAATATTATCACAAATCTCAACAAATCTTCAGTTTCTTGGACATCTCACATGTGCAAGGCTAGCTGGGTAATCTGTTTCTAGCACAGTATTCTCACTCATAACAAATCTCTTAACAGGAAACATTGCATAATAATGGAGGGGAATTATAACGCCATTGTTAGATTTAAAAATAAATATTTCTAAGGGAAAGGTAAAAGAAAACAATATCTTACAGTTGCACTACTTAGTAATGCAAGTACATGCCTTGCATTAGCCTAAATTGTCCATTTTCTCAACACACAGGAAATGACACATCAAGCCTGTCTACTAGAACTGTCTACTAAACACCAGCAAGTGAGCACCAGCAACCTGCTGCTGCTGCTGCAAAAAGAAAAAAAATAACATTTCATTCACTCAAACCATTACCTCGCTGTTATTTGAGGCCCACAAACATGACTCCCACAGCTTTGAAAACTCTACTCCAGAGATGACTTCGTCCATCTTTGTTGCCAACGGCTGTGCGCATGTTTCATCATCCACAGCATGCTACTCACCATGGCGCAGCTGCCCTCTGCGTCGTCGTCCAGCAGGCCCAGTCTGCACAGAGCTTTCTCATTCCTAAGCCAGTACTCCGATGAGTCCAGCAGACTGTTGCTGCACAGCACCTGCAGCACACAGATAAACCATGCTCAGGTACAGCGGCACTGAAATCACACCACACAGAGGCACACATGGAGAGTACGACACACACACCGTCTGAGTCGTCACACATTCACTTTCATCTGCCTGCCTCTGTGTTTCCCCCTCTGGTTGTTGGGATCAATTGACCTTTTCTCCAGGAACTTTATAAGTGTCTGCGGCACAGGATCAATAATCTATCAGCTAACCACACACACAGTATACAACACTTATTCTTACTCCCCTGGAGGGAAGTTTTAATGAAGCATTTAGGATGAAAACTACAGTCATAGAGTTGCCTTTGTCAATGACAGACAAGTGTCTTTGTCCTACTGACATACTCATTTGTCATAAACTACTGACTTTGCAGTTTTAATAACCACACAATTACAATGCTAATATGTTTCTAAGGGTGAAATTAAAGATTTCCTTGATGCTTATCACAGAGCAGGGGTTTGACCATAATGGTATATTTACATACAAAATAAAAAAACAAACCTGTAGATAACCCATTAAAATCACATGCTATAAATAAAATCATTCTTATGCAATTACTTTGACATATGACGGATATTACGTGTGTGTTGTTCACTCTCTATTTTTGGTAACAAATCTTGCCCCCTCATGCTTGCACCCCCAGGAATAGGCCATCTGTGCATGGTCCTCGGCCAGGTAAAGGTGACGTAGACTCTCCTAATCTCACTGAGCGTGATCATATCAATGGCTGCTGGCACAGGTCAGCGGAGCACGAGGCCAAATTATAAGAAGGACCTCATCTTGCATGTCTACAGGACACATGAGTGGTAGCCAGTTAAGATCATGAGCGTTAGGCTAATTAGGAACACACACCATACACATTCAGTGAGGGACACACACACACACACTTTAAAAAGGAAATTCAATCTAGCCTCCACCTCGGCCCACTGATCTGTACTATTTCCCCTCCTGTCTCTCTGGTGCTGGGAGATGATAAATCTACTGGGCTGACCCGAGGGCCTGGCTGTTCCTCTTATTGCACAACCCCTGGGTGTCACAGGCACCCCAGAGGAGGAAATGAAAATCTCATCCACAGCTGGAAACACACAAAGAGATACACTGGCGGGGAAACTGATATGATGGACAGGTGCGCAGGCACAAAAAGGGAGAAAAAGAACAGAAAAAGAAGCAGACAGAGGGACACACAGGTAGACAGATGAACACTTCCATCCCAACACAAACACAAAGAGACACAGCTCCATTTTACCTTCTTGCAGGCACTGATGGACGAGGCCACGGTGCTTTCTGTGCTGCCTCCCTCCACCTCGACAGACTCTGAGCCTTCAAACATGGCAGACGACTGGAAGTTACTGCAAGGCAGAAAGGGCACAGAGTTGACTTAGTCAGAGCAACTTCTTGTCAAACACTCAACACCACCCTTTTTAAAAAATGTCTGGGACCAGTATGGGTTATCAGGTTATAACCCATACTGATACTGACAGGTTATATCCTCTCTGTCTGGAGCAGCCCCATTGCCTGTCCATGTGTTCACACTGTACAGCTGTGCTACTCTTCCAATGAATTAACCAGACAGCTAATGTCAGACAGGAGATTAATTTCAATATTCTGAGCTGAATACTTAATTCCTTCACCTAGGTCATTTCCAGGGCAGCATGACAGGGTCAGGGCAGCTTCTGATGCCCCTGTTTGCACTTAAAAAAACATCTCCCATTATTTATTGAAGAGTGTGAAGAGTTGTAGGTGGATGTCGAGACCTTTTTAGCGCAATATAATTTATAAGAAACCACTGTACCACCCATTAGTGAGCTGCAGAAGGCTATCAGTGTTTAAGAGACCATTGCAATGTCTGTATGAGAAGATGTCACACAAATACTGTATGCAGCCATGCATTTTCAAATTCATGGCCACGTTGCCAAATCATGAAATTTGGCAGCAATGGTGACAGAGAGAATTACAGCAGGACAAACAGGGAAACACAGCATGTAACCTTCATCTGGTGCATAAGGCAAAATTATTCAGCAATCTGGTGATGGTAATGTCAACGTGCCTCAACACAACATGGAAAACTCAAAAATCCCAGGAAGGCGTCATTATCCTCCGTGCATGCTTTCGCTAAGATAAGCCAAATCGAAGCTTATCTGGAATGGCATTAATGAGGATCAATTTGGAAAATAAAGAGGCTGGGGATGCATACTTAAATAGGAGCAGCTGTTTTTTCCTGTAATCCACATATTTCAAAGTGAATTAAAAGCATTTGATTTTGGAAGCCCCAAAGGGAACACACACAACTCTGTGTATTTGCAGTTAATGAACATGCCTGATGTAAATAATTGTGTCACTTCACTGCAAATGGCTGGACACACAGAGGAGGGGGAAAAAAGATGATGTAGTGGGGATAAGTGAATATGATGTGCTTTAAATAGGCTATATCTGGGAGGCACACATCAAAACACCCATCTAACACACACACACACACACACACATACACACAGTGGCACTGATTCTGCAGTGAAAATGTTGGATGCATGCAGAAAATTGGAAGTGATCTACACTGTAAAAAAAAATGGAAGTGAAAAGACCACAGGCTGGTGTTCATGCAAATATTGATTGATTTGAGCAGAAAATTGAAGAGCAGCGGGATGGATTTATCATGCACGACCTTATTTTCTAATCTTTGTGCTTAACGACCTTTTCATCACGACACGGTGATGATTGACAGGTTAGTGCGCTCTCGTGCTCCCGGGGCCCCACAATTAATCCCTAAAAAATGTCTGGATTTCAAGGACAGACCCCGGTCCACTGTTGTGATTTATGGTGGAAGCTTGGGTGGTTCTAGGATTTCGCCAACTGGCCAGTTTATTTGGTGCACAAACAGGCAACTTTTGGAGGTAGCCTTCACATTTTATTGCTTTGGAAAGCGTTCAACTGCACAAAAAAAATCTATGTGGTAAGTTTAGTACCTGAAGACTGCAGGAAAGCTTTGATTTTATCTCTAATTCTGACAATTGCCCGGGATGAAAAACAGACAGAGGACTAAAGCTTATTCAAAAACATATTAAGAGTGACAACTGAACAATTAAATTTTAAAATTGCCACGCATTCAGAAACATCTTGTTTACAGCCCAAACACGGACAGTCAACTGTGAAAGCAGCTTTGCTGCAACACTCTGCGTGGATTTTGGTGAGCTTGTTCAACACTAAACACAAACAGACTCACTTTGCACACTTAAAAACAAAATCTCTATGCTCTCATTACATACAACATGAAAGAGATGGCGCATTGGCACCTCACACTCACTTCATCCCTGTGCTTTTGTAAAAAAAAAAAAGAAAAAAAAAAGGGTGCTATATCACCATACTTTAAATACTGAAGGACCAGATGCAACAAAAACACTATAAAGTAGACATAGCCTATAATTGAACTGATAGACATTATGTTTATTTCGTTTGGGAGTAAGCTCATCGACATTCTTTTTCATCCCGGGATAATAAGCAGTCTCTTACCTCGGCGTTTTCAGAAGGCACTTTGCGCCTGCCATTGTGTCAAAAATAGTCAAACTGTCGTCAGTCGGTGTGTTTATTTCCTCTGTGTGGGCAGGGGCACAGGGAGAGGTAGCCTACAGCGGAGCGCCTCGACGCGTAGTCCCCGGGACACTCTCTGGTCCAGATGCTCATCCCCGAACGAGCACTGAAGGAATCCCAGACTGTTTCACCGTGACTGGAGGAGGACTGTGATGAACTGAGCCCACGGTATCAGCAGCGTCTGTCCGCCAAGTGCTGAGTGCACGCGCAGGAGCCCCGTGTGGATCAAACGTACTGAGCACGACGCAGGCAAGGGCATCGATATGGGCAGTGCGCGCGCGTGTGTAAAAACAGAAGTACGCGCACACGTACGTAGTTGTTTACCACTTGCAGTAGCCTATGTGTTTGTTAAGACTGCCTGAAGGCTTAGTAGGCCTACTTGATTGATCACTGAAGGCTGACAATCACGTATGTTATTTTGTAAATGTAGGCTATAGGCTCCAATGGAGAAAGTAGCACTAACAGCACAGGAGACAACAGTAGTGGAATAGGGAATTAAAATACATCTTCATCACAACCGAAACTAATGATTGTTCTTGGATCTATACAGAGGAGAGGAAACAGACCTCTCTCCTGTGTCAGCCCTCTGCATAACTTTGAGCTGCATGTGAATTTCACTTCCCCTGTTGTTCAGACAGGTGCTCTATACCTCTGTTGCAGTAGATTCTGTGGTTGACCTGCCCTCTCCCCACAACAAGCAAACAGATACCAATATCCATGCTAACGTTTCAAGAGCTTATTCTTTCAGCAAAGCAAAGTCAGACCTGCCTGCTCTACTGTATATGTGTGACCGAGCTTTAGGGGATGAACTTTCTCTGAGCAGTCTCCATGGAAATATCAACGTCTTCTGTGCATCTTCTTTGGTATAATTACAGTGAGTGGATTAAAATATTCAGTCCCATCGTCCTGTGGTAACTGTCTGTAGAGTGACAGTGATAGACATTGTAACACACTGGAACACGATCATGTTGTCCACAGAGCTTGGTACTGGATTCTTGAGGTACATACCAATCAGATAATGATATATCAGCCGATATATATTCTATGGTGTCATCGATTCAGTAATTTCTTATTACTTACCAGCTGACATACACACATATATGATATAGCTGTGCTAAGACAAAATAAAAAATTACAAAATGATGCTTTATATGGAATACTTTTTGAATACTTTTATTTTATTTGATCACTTACATCTGCATTTCTGAATCATCTGAATATTTTCTGTGGGTTTGAATGATCACGGGGACGTTAGTCACCTGATCCATTTGTTTTTGAATTGCAATAATTATGTCAGTATACCAATGAAGCAACTAGTTGGTAGTCGTTGGTCGCCAGAATCTTAATGGGAATTAAAGTATTAGTATATATTACAGCATATATCATTTCACTGTCACCCCTCTGAGCTCTGATGTAAAGTGTAAAATGTAAAATATAAAATTGTCTGCTATGTAGCAGAAGGGAGTTAAAAAACTTAATTTCACTCTATAACTTGTTATATTGTGACAATAAACCTACCCACCTACCTATCCCACTAAGAATAAAGTGGTGGGAGAAGAAAATGGTGGATATTAGCAGAAGAAAGTACAGCGAAAGCAGGGGTCCTGATGAGATCTGTGTGTGAGTGTGAGAGAGAGAGAGAAACAGAAATTATGCTTTTGAGTATTTGTACGGTGGCCAAAGTGTACGTCTTCACTCTGCTGAAAGGATCATTTTTGCCAAAGAGAATGTTTGTTTTCAGCGTGCCCCTCCAACTCAAAGTAAATAGATTTTTACATGCTGTTATCAGCTACCACATTATTTCTCTTCTTCTAGATGCCATCTGCATTCATTTAACAACAAGAATTCAACATCAACACCCAATTTCTGTGATTGCAAACTCAGTGTAGTAGTGCAACCCACAGGGAACACATATGCTTACAAAACACCATCCAGGACTCGACTAATAAAATATGAAACATTTAAAGAAACATTATGTAGCAATTTTATCTTAAAATAACAACTTCAAAATCATTTTGATGGTTTTAAGAGGGTGAATGACATTTCTGTCATTACCACTCTGGGTTTGCGGTGTCAGCTACTGCGATATGTAACATTGGATTCCCAGGCAGGACATTTATCACAACAACGGAGTAATGCTTTATGGCAACAACAAAACTTTTCAGCAAACAAGCTATAAGAAGAAGCCAAAAGTATATTATGTACTATGTAGGTTCTTTGGAAGAAGATAGCTCAGTATTCACAGTATGGTTATCATGGCAGTGGCTGCAAAGAGAGCGGGCAACATAACTGGGCTTAGCAGCTTCTGTGGAACGGCAGAGCGAAGAGACAGAAGAGGACGTTAACAGAGGAAGCTAAGACGAGAAAAAGAGTGACCAAGCAAGAGGTTTCCGGATGTTGGCAAGAACTTGAAATAAAAGGCTGCAAGACAGACGCTGGAGCTGGCATTCTTTTTTTTGGCCTAACAAGTAATATTGCTATGTCTTGTGTTGTTGCACTTCTTGATATTTGTCGTCTTGCTAGTTTTTGATCATAAGTAATGTATTCATAACAAATACATGTGTACAACTTATAGCCTGTCCTCCCCAGATAAACAACCAAATAGATCCTTTGTTGAAGCATGTTATTGACACATATTTACATTTACTGTGGCAGCGACCTCTCGTGGCCATATGAAGGAGGCAAAGGAGGAACAAGGGTGACGTATTATAAATAGAAAGAAAGCAAAATGTCACTTCTCTTCTTATAAACCAGAAGACTACTCAGAGACTGTATATTACTATTATTATTATTTCCTCTTCTTCTTCTCTGTATATATTCAATGTAGTGACGGGCGTCTACACTACCGGAATTATACAAGCAGAAGAAGAAAGCTGTGATGACGAAACACGCTCTGTGGCGCTGTTTGTCTGTTGTCGGCTACGGTAGAAACATGACGACAAAATACAGCGACCTCCATAGGAGGGGGTGCCGGCAGTTATGTAGATAAAAATGTCTCATTCTAACCCTCATTCTTCATTATGTAAGGTCTTTATACACCACTGAAAACATAGTTATGGATATTATATTGCATTTCTGTCAATAGATCCTCAGAAATATTACACACCTTTAAGGTCACGTTGCCTGTCGCTGGACCGGTACGGGAAATTATCCTAATGTGTCTTTTTGGGAGGCATGGACAAATGACCAGTTTTGTCGTTTAGGCTGGAGGACTTGTTGCGGTGAATTACTCTCTGAAACAGTAGGGGAGCCAAATCACACCAAATCTTACATATGTTGCTTTAAATTATATACATTTCCCATCCATATCTTTTTGAAGATATGCTTTTTGAATAAATTTACACATTCACAAAACTGTTTGACTATAATGAGGTGCTAAGGAAGCAAAATGAATTCTTTAGCATGGTCCTAGTAACAAAACATATCCTTGTTTAAACATTTTAAAAACAGAAAAGTGTGATACCCATACAGCTATGGGTAATCACGCTAAAACTAAAAAAACAGAATCACTGGAACTATCAGCAAGGGGGGGGGGGGGGGGGGGGGGGGGGTGTTAACAGTAAATGCAATATGTAACATACTGAATCATCCACACTTTTCTCAGAAGCTACAATAAGTCTGAGAAGCCTTTTCAGATGAACTGAAAACAATGCCACTTCACTATGTCTATTTAAACCAGGCACGAACATTGGTGTGATGTTGCTTACAGTGAACAGCTATGTTTGTATGATGTGGCATGTGCACACACTCTACTGTATGCACACATTTACACATGTTTGCACTGCAGTGGACAATGAAATATTTACATCTCATTCGAAGCACAAAACATGTAAAAATGTCCTGTGGAAAATAATGCGTGTTGAATGCATACACTTAAGAAAAATTGTATGGACCTGCCCTCTTTTTCTTTTAAAAGAATTTACAATGCATTTACATTTCCATAAGTAAGGGTAGGGGCAGGTTGCTGACTTTAGTTAACCTATATTGTTACTGGAAATTTTGATCAAATAGCTGTTAACTTCAGTAGAATCCAAAACAAAGTGATATTTCTGAGTACATTTTTTAATTTTAGATGGGCGTGGTTAATGTATATAGATGTAAACTTAGCTTATAAATGATTTTGTTCACTGTTTAAGAGTACAGTGATCAATTAACTGTTCATTGTTAATTCTCAGGTTAAGCCAATACTAATTGTTACTACTAATAACTTCATCTTTGAGTGTGGCAATTCTGAGATCTTTTTTCTTCACGACGTAAATCACACACTGGCCTCATTTACACTTGGTATAGGATCTTTACCTGGATATATTATCTCAGTGAAATCTGATTAGCCTTTACATTTACACCTAACAAGAGTTCACACTACATTAATTATGCAGGACTGGCGGACTCGTCAACAAACTTGGTGCGTCCCAGGCCAAGTAATTTTCAAATCACTTTCAAATCACTTTTTGCAAGAGAAAATTTTCTAGCTAATGCTTCTACTTATAGCTTTTTGTCCTGCTTGCTTGAAATAGCAGTGAGAGGTTTTCAACTTGTTGAGTGAATTTTTTCCGTGAGTATGTGCTCATGCTGTATACGGATTGCATTTACATCAGGACTTCACAATGCAAGTTTTTTGTTTTTCCTTATGTACACAACATATCCAGATGCAGATTAAATTTTATTGCCAAGTGTAAATAGGGTCAGTACCACTAACAGTTTTGAATGAAAGATCAACAAACCTATAGACAGCTCATAAAAGGAGTCCCCCTCCATATTAGCGACTTCTTCTACAGCCTTTGTTTCTAATACTCCTAAAATCTCCTGACAGCTCTGTGTGGTATTCATGCTTTGAGCATTCAGGCTCAGCATGCAGGCTGCTGATGGTTTTGAAGACTTCAATATTAAATCATTCCAGCAAATGATCGCAGGGCTTCAAACTGGTTTTGAAACTGTTGTAAACAGTCGCATAGCAACAGCAAGTCAGTTTTTGTGTTCTTTGAAAGGAGCCGACAGACGAACAATAAACAACCAAGTAACAGCTAACCATAAGAAATACAACACGAACTCACGCGTAACAAGCTGCACAGATGTTGAATACCCAACAACAACAGGAGTCAAACTTCCCTGATGTTTTGTCTGACACACACACACTCTAAATGTGATGCTCTCTTATCCTCCTTCGGCTCCTTCTTTGTTTCCCCCCTTTTGCTCTTCCCACCACCTTGTCTTACTTTCTTCTCCTCCTTATCTGGTGCTCCTCTTCCTCTCTCTTCTATTCTCTGCCTTTTCTCTGCCTCCTCTTTCTTCCTCTTCTTCTTTTTCATCATCCTCTCTGTCACCCTCCAAACATCTTAATCCAAAGGCTTTTCAGAGGGGGATGGAACTAATCCATTGCACCCTTTCTTAGAATAAAGGAAGGACAACTAAAGTG